GTTGCAAACCAGACGCGCATACCTCTCGGCAACCAGCCGATAATGCCGTGATGCTGAAAGAAATCGAAGCCTAAGGTTGCAATTGGCACTTTAGCTACAATGAAAATGCAAGGAAGAGGCCTACGGAGATCAGGCTTCAGCGTAATAGACCGTTATCCATAGGCACGGATCGGTGTGCCATTTACCGCCTGCAGGCTGTATACCGAACAGTGCTATAGGTCCTCCGGACGTGGGGGAACCACACTGGTTTAGGCGCCAGTGTCTGCGAGTAATCGCATACCAGATCTCAAATCCCGCAAGTAAAAGTGGCGACGTTGCTCGCAAATGCTAGCTTGCGTTGTCGCCATTACGAGCTGGTGTGTTCGTTTCCCGAGTTGGAAAATCGACACGGCTTTATGCATTTCTGAACCCTGTTTCGAAACTTTCGGTGATACCAGCGAACGGCACGTGGTCGACTGACTCTCCGAGTAAGCCATTGATTAGCTCGAGAGTTGCGTCTTCGACTGGCGTTGACAATGGAGGCCAGTTATTCTTGCAGGGTGTGCACGGCTTTAACGAGTGGGTCGTCAGATGCACGAGGCAATAAAGTGGAGATCTTTGGCACTTGTATCTCCATTATTTTACCAGCCATAAGGGTTAGGTCTTTCATATCGGTATCCTGGTGAGTTTTAGCCAATATCTCTTGTACATAAGTAGGGAGCCGTTGCAAAATTAACTACTTAAAGATGGAGTTCTTGGGTGGGTTGTCACCTGCCAGAGCTTGCATGGCTCACGATAGTTGCGTAGGGGTGCGATCACCAAATTGTTCTTCACTGAGTAGACGTTGCGCTCTCTTACGCTCACTAAGGCTAAGCTCGCGAACTAATAAGTCCCTCAGCTGTTGATACCTGGGGCTTCTCTTCAGGATATCGTGTGCCAGGAGCAATAATTCTGGTGGGAGTCTGGAAATTACATGATGGACCTTCAGGGCATCCTTATGTATGCGATTAATCTCAAAAACTGACTCTGCCTGAAGAGAACAAAGCTAGAGATATTGTATCCAAAATGTTGGTAAACAACTAGTAGATACAGTGTTAAATTCCCCTGGTTGCTGATCGGTCATATTCGCATACACAAAACTAATAAAAAACAATGAAAGTGGGTACGACTCACCGGATGAAAGAGCTGAGTCCGAAACACCAAGCTCACATCGGATTCACCACTTTGTAGGAGCACTTCTTAGTTTCTGGTTGCTGGACTAATACCCCGTCGCTTTTGGATGTCGTGAAGAAGTAGAAGGCTGTATTCCCATTGATGTATTTTAATGCTCCCACAAATTAATAATGGAAGCACAAGAAGAAGCTTGTGAAGGTGCTCTGTTGATGTTGGTACACCTAGATAGTCATTTGTTCAAAGTTGGTATCGATTGTGTGTTAACTGGACTATTAAAAGATAGTCGATGCAGCTGGTAAAATGTTAGCTGACTAAGGATAATATCCTGGCAAATCTTGTGTCGCAAAATGATGAAGTTTCTACAATACAACAAACTTCCTTTCTGACAGTTTTTTCGTACTCTGGTCTTCTCACAGGATGATAAACGGCGCACAGTCTGCTGCATCACCCAGGTGAATTTGGGTGATTTCGGTGCTGGTCAGGCCTTCCCCTCTTTTTATTCTCTCTCTCGGGTTTTCATCCTTATCATGCTGTTCCAATTTCACTATTATCCCATTTTTTCAACTCCACAATTATTAGTCCTCTCCCATCTTGCTTCGATACTCACTACTTTTTTCGATTCGACATCCATCTCTCAATCAAAGGGCAAGTTTATGGTGCGACCATCCGCGCTGTGTTGTTGTACGGTTGCGAGACTTGGCATGCTCGTATCGATGACCTGCGCCGATTATTGTCTTCGAGAACCGTTACTTGCAGTCCATCGTCCGTGTGTGTTGGCTGCGCCACCTAACCACTTTTGAAGTCAGACAGCGTCTTTGGTGGAGACAGCCACTCCCTTGAGGCGCTTGTCTCGTTCCGCCAACTACGATGGCTTAGACACGTGCTACGTATGTCCGATCAGCCTCTTTCGCGTCGTGCCTTGTTCGCGGTCGCTGGACAGAGCTGCAGGAGGCGGCATGGTGGACATCTTACAACTTGGAGAATCAGGATAAAAAGCTCACAAAACCGCTGGTCTCCGTTGGTTCTTCTCAACTCCCTGGATGGGGTCCCAAAGATACTGAGTGCCGCTAGTTGGAAACTTTGAAAGTCATGGCTCAAAACCGAACTCAGTGACGTCTTTTATCTCTTTGTTACAGTGATTCCCTTTCCCTCTCCCAATAAAAAACATCAAAAGCTCAAAAACTATGAGTGGGAAAGTGGACAACCAATAGCTTGTTTTCTTTTTCTACCTTGGTTCCGATGGCACAATATCTCTACACAGGTTGTTATATATATATATATATATATATATATATATATATATATATATATATATATATATATATATATATATATATATATATATATATACGTGAACTCCTCCAACACTAGTGGAATATGGCTGTTATTCTTACATTCAGTCAGTACTCGCGCACATGAGGGTTATTGTTTCTCCATCCAGTTTGTGCTAGTCCATTCACAAGTGTGAACAAATGCCCGTTCACAACACTGCGGTGCTGTAACTCAAACCAGGGACCTTTGGTATGTCCACTGATATCTCATGTTGGATGCCTAAGCGGAAGCCATTTAGAAACACTTGTAAGCGCCACATATTAGCCTGACAGACTGATGTGTAACTGGGGCTCGCCCAACTTACAAGTCCGGCTAACATCTGTTCGTGTCTCGCCACATCCCCACTTGACAGATGGGACACCGTGATTTATTGCGGGTTGCAATATGGGGTCAGTGTATCCCATCTCAAGTACCTGTGTATGCCCCCTTGTACTGCTGCAGCTTTCAGGTAAACGCACTGAGATTCAGACAAGCCATCAAGCTTGATTCCGGAACAGCGGCAACACGATGTGACATCCAAATCGAAGTGCTTGGGCACAGGTAGCATTCTAGGCACTGATGAATTGGTCGAGATATGCTAGCGGTCAGAACGAATGACCAGGGGGAAATAAATAGTTAACACACGATGACTGTCTGGTGGTTCTACATCCCGATTGATTCTCGCTCACCTCGGACATGAGACGACCGGTTTACCTTCCGATATAAATAGCCTGCAGTTAATAATATAGATGGCATTCACAGCACACACCAACGATTGGTCATCACTGTTCCATTGTGCTTTTATTCCTTTGTTAACGTGAGCATAGCTATAAATCCCGTTCGTTCTGTTACCGCGGACTTCAACTTAGCTGAGCTTGTGAATAGCAATAGACTTAGTCGCACCATTTCCCTGCTAACTTGAAAGTTGCTCACTCCATCTTCGCATTTTCTTTGTATCATCCTTATTCTATACCCCGCATGTAAGTGGTGCTTGGGTAAAGTTTCATTCTAGTATGATTAACTACTGACTTGGTCAATGTAGTCTCTTTATTGCACGTCTAGAACGGATGAGCCACATCTAACCTACCTTTATTGGGCTTACTTAACTCGGTTGTATTTCGCGATGACTTCACGTGTTGCCCATTACAATGTTGTACTCATCATGACCTATGCTATTCTTGCTACCTTCTCAAGTGGAGTCTAGTATGGTGACATACCGAGACGGTGAGCTACGGCATCTTCCTCTTCGTATTATTATTCGGCCGCGATTCACATCACTATGTAAGCTCCATGGTATTACTCACCAGACTAGCTATCTACATTCTGCTCCTTGAAATCGATTTGTAGATTACATGACCCTAGCTTGACCAGCTGCCCAATGCTAACTAGCACGACGCTTAGAGAGCCGGTGCATCGCAGAATAATGGTTCAGTCCATCCATGAGCTCATTCGTATTTGACGTGCGCGCGGTGTTTCCGAGCGAATTGTGTGCTTGATACGGATCAATGCTAGGGTGGCAAATTATTGAGTATGTTTCCAGTTCGATGGATACGCTTGAATCAAAAGGTTACCAGCGCTTGGCCGCTTACAGTACGCATAAAGTGTAAAGTTTGACATTTGGAACACAATGCTCAACGATTGTCCCTCGTGTGACCATGTTGGACTATGCATTCGAAGAGAAATTTCCCTGGAAATTCTGTGGCAAGTGAACAATCCCGACAATTAACCGACTAGCGATTATCACGATGTCGCCAGTTCATGTTCCGCTCCGCAGGTTAGTGATGAGAGTGAGCATAGTTTTTCATCATTCAGCCATACTGAATTTACCGGGGCTTATGAAAACGCACGTACTAAGCGGATGGAAAGCGGAAGCGCAGAGACGCCTACCAGAAGTTGCATTGCACATGGCCAATCTTTTGGATGGACTAAGTAAAAGGTTAAACCCAACGGGAATGGTACGTCAGTGTCTTAGTATATTACATCGGAAAGGAATCGGCGCATAGCGACAATCGTTTTATGAGCACCGAATGGCTGCACCCGAGACGTACGATACAGATTGTTATCACATAGCTTATGGCCACAGCAGAGTACACATCGGTATGTACAAACGGTTGAGTACTTGGACATTTGCAAAACAATGCGAACACTGTTTGGAAAGTCGCATGTTTGACAGTGGGCAGCGGGACTTAGTTGATGTCACCTGTCAATATCAAAGGTTGCGCATCAATCGTTCTTTGAGAATCTGCACATACCTCGGGCAGCAGATGACCGAACCGGTCGGCGACACAGAGAGCCAGAAGTGGACACTCCATCGCATTCGCATGCTGTGCGATCTCCCCCATCAGCTACGCAAACCAGACTGTACATATAGACGGCAACACCTAAGTGCACACTATTTTACTGTACCACTTGTTTATTTATCATTCTACCTAGCAGTTGCTTCACTATTCCTATATCGGGTTCCTTCAAATATGGATGCCCAAGATTTAAGGCTGTCACGTCTAAATGTTGAAGAAAACATCAACAGTTCGTATTGGGTACTTATTGTCATGCCTGCGAAAGTGGCTGTTAGCCTGACCTCCAAACGAAACCCATACACGTTTGTAGTACCATTGATCATGAGGTCTAATGTGTCTCTATCCAGTTTTTGACAGATCACACTTAAGTTTGGATAAACGCATGTGCATATGTTGTATTCGAACTGCCATTGCACACGGATGACGCCAATCCATGTATATATGTATACCGAATGAATTCGACGAGGATACTCATACCGCTTTTGTACGGCCAACTTAGTGCATGGAAGCGGCACTCGAGCAAACAGAAAATAACATTACCAGAACATGAAGAAGGTGAGTTTATGACAAACTCATGTTGATTTCAGGTGTTGCGAATCCAAGGCAAATTTGATCGATGCGAATTCCGTGGACTGCTCAAAAGGGCGGTTGCTCAGGTGCAGAAGGCACTATTGCACGCGGAATAGAAGCACGATGAGTACGCTCCCATTCGATTTACTAATCCAGGCCAATAAGGCGGCGTATGTGGTACGTTTGCCTGCGTGCTGAGTAATCTTGCATTTCAGAAGTAGATGTTGTTTGAGCTCCCCGGTGTGGCTGCGCCTGATGTGAATGTTGACAAGGTGCCTACCTGTCTATTACCCACTACCTCGTCCATACTGGCTTCAGGACAGTTGGTCGTTGCTGGAGGGGACGGGGTGCACCGTCCTCGTGACGGTGCTAGGCTCAAAGAGTGGTTCCATCCTGTGTGGAACGGGCTACGGTCCAGCCACCGCCATGTGTACGTCTGGTGTGCATGATTTCCCAATTAGGCCGGAATGCTTCTGTTCTGCTTGTTGAAGGAGTGTGGGCCGGCTCCGTTGATGAAACGTGGCTCCCATCCACATGCCTCCCGGTCTTATTCCTTCGGGTTTACACCGGATATGGGGTGTGTAGATGGAACTGTGGGTGCTGCAGCGCAAGCCACCCATGGCCCTCTGTAGGCGCAGGCGTCCTGTGACTGTCCCCATGGAGGTCACAGTGACAGACAAATCCGAATACAGACGCCGCCAAATTATATATATATATATATATATATATATATATATATATATATATATATATATATATATATATATATATATATATATATATATATATATATATACTCGACGGCGACTGACCCGAGAGCTCCGTCGCATTAAAAATGCATGGTGGACGGAGAAGGCGAAGCAGATGGAATGCTACGCGGAACGCCGTCAACACAAGGAATTCTTTGACTCCTTGAAGGCGGTGTATGGACCGAGATTGGAGCCTCTGAGGACACTGATCGATGGTAGTTCAGGCGCTACCTGCACCCAGACTGCAGACATAATGCAGGTCTGGCGGAAACACTTTGACTGTCTCTTGAACAACCGTTCAGAGATCGACTAGCCTACATTGAACGGCCTGAAGCAGCACGATGTGAATGCGGATCTGGCGGACACGCCGAGACTGGATGAGACGCAGAGAGCACTTGCTCAGCTGCGAAACGGCAAATGTGCCGGAGGTGACGGGATCCCACCTGAAGTATTGAAGCACGGTGAACCCGCGTTGTTGACTGCGCTGCACCACTTGGTGCAACGCGTGTGGATTGAGGAGGAAGTGCCTTCTGAGCTGAAGGATGCCCTTGTGCTACCACTGTACAAGGGCAAAGGGAGCAAGCAATGTTGCACGAATTATCGTGGCATCAACTTGCTGAGTTGTGTGGGCAAGGTGATTGCCCGAATCCTGCTCAATCGCCTCGTGAGTCAGATTGTGAAACCTAACGTGGCGGAAGAGCAATGTGGATTCCGTTCGGGTCGCAGCACTATAGATATGGTGTTTGCGGCTCGTCAGTTGCAAGAGAAGTGCAGAGAACGACACCAGCCTTTGTACTCGCTTTTTGTTGATTTCACCAAGGCATTTGATACGGTGAACCGCGAGGCACTGTGGCTGGTGTTGGGTAAGTTTGGTTACCCGCGTAAGTTTGTAAGTTTAATTGAATGTCTGCACAGTGGTATGCGAGCGAGGGTGCAGCTGAGTGGAGAGACCTCTGATGACTTTACAGTTGTCTCTGGTGTGAAGCAAGGCTGTGTCTTAGCTCCTGCCCTGTTTAATATCTATCTTCATGCAATGTTGTCTTGTGCTTTTGATGCGGCTTGTGTTTACGGTGTTCGTGTGGAGCACCGTATTGATGGTGGGTTGCTGAACATCCGTCGTTTCGGTGCGAGAACTCTAGTCTGTGAGACAACTATCCGTATGTTGCTGTTTGCTGACGACTGTGCGTTGTTTGCACACAGCGCGGATGAGTTGCAGCACATGACTAGTGTTCTGGCTTCGACAGCGGCCACATTCGGGCTCACCATCAACACAAGCAAAACTGTCTGTCTCTTTCAGCCTTCACCGGAGGTGCAATCTTCAATATTGCCGCGAATCAGCATTGGTGCTGAAGTATTGGAAACCACCTCCCGCTTCTGCTACCTTGGGAGTGTGATGTCGACTGATCAGCAGCTACACGTTGAGTTGCGTAATCGCGTGTCGAAGGCAGCAGCGGCATTCGGGAAGCTTGAGTACCGAGTGTGGAACAACCATCAGCTTACTGTTGGCACGAAGCTGATGGTGTACAAATCCATGGTACTGTCCGTTCTTCTATACGGCAGTGAAACGTGGACGATGTACCGTCGGGATGTGCGATATCTCGAGCGGTTCCATCAGCAGTGTCTGCGACGAATTGAGCGCATCGGTTGGGGCGCCAGAGTTGCAGACACGGAAGTGTTGCGCCGAAGTGGGATGTATGCAGTGGACGGCATACTTTTACTGCGACACCTGAGATGGCTCGGTCATGTGAGCCGTATGGATTCGACGCGGATACCGAAACAACTTTTATACGGTCAGCTGAGTATAGGGAAGCGGCACGTGGGGAAACCAAAGTTACGTTACCAGGACATGATTAAAGTGAGCCTCACACGTTCTAATCTTGATTGCAGATCATGGGAATCGAAGGCGGTTGATCGGCGTGCATGGTGCGATCTAATCACGAAGGCAGTTGCTGAAGTGCGGGAGAAAGCCCTCATGCATGCAGAGAAGAAGCGGCAAGCACCAATGAATTGTACTCCGTCGACATCGAGCGCATGGTGCTGTAGAACATGCGGTCGCGAGTGCCTTAGTCAGGCAGGCCTAGTGAGCCAAGAGAGGAGTCACTCGGGACCACTGCCAAAGCGCCGACGGGTCCCGCAGTGAACGTAGGCAGCACCGGCGCAGCGTTTGTAGGCATGCTGAATTCGATTTACTAACCGCATGGTTGCATGCTAAGTCTCTTTATTTCAGGTGGTGGGTTTTCGGTTCTCTCCTAATGCCTTTCTTTCTCATATAAATGTCTAGTGGGCTATGAGCTAGGTCCTTTGGGGCCACTACAGAAGCGACGACGGGTCCTGCAGAGAATTACGGCGAGCCGGCGCAGCGTTTGTAGGCACGCTGAATTCGATTTACTAACCGCGTGCTTGCATGCTAAGTCTCTTTATTTCAGGTGGTGGGTTTAAAGTTTGTGCCTTAATGCTTTTCTTTCTCATATAAATGTCTACCTGTACTCTATTCCATTAACTTGCACACCTCGCCTAAGCCAATTGTATTCGATTTCCGTAGCATATTTATGTTCTTGTCTTTCGGTGAACTATATTTCCTGTCCTCGTGCACTTAGATAGGATTTGTTTGTAAACAACTTATTACATATGCTATTTAATTAAGGTTTATATCACCGTTTCCTTATGCATTAATCGAGTTTTACTCTTTTTCCTTCTCTCTCTCTCTCAAGTGTTTGGCTGTTGTTTGATATCCCCGGTTTGGCTGCGCTTGATGTGCATGTTGACAAGGTGCCTACCTGTCTATTACCCACTACATCGTCCATACTGGCTCCAGGAGACAGTTGGTCGTTGCTGGAGGGGACAGGGTGCACGGTCCTTGTGGCCGTGTTAGGCTCAAAGAGTGGTTCCATGCAGTCAGTGTGGAGCGGACTACGGTCCAGCCACCGCCTTGTGTGCGCTTGATTCCCAAATACAGTGTGCTTGTGTTTGCCTGTGAAGGAGTGTGGGCCGGCTCCGTTGATGAAACGTGGTTCCCATCCGCATGCCTCCCGGTCTTATTCCTTCGGGTTTACACTGGATATGGGGTATGTGGTTGGAGCTGTGGGTGGTGCAGCGCAAGCCATCCATGGTCCCTCTGTAGGCGCAGGCGTCCTGTGGCTTGCCACAGTGACAGGCGAATCCGAAACCGGATGCCGCCAACCATGTATGTATGTGTGCCCCATGCTGAGGCTGATGTTGCTTTCTTGATGCTTCTTCACCGCAGTTGGGCTAAACCAACTTACACTTAAACTAGGTCTTCTTAAGCTGGATAAATTTCATTCCGCTTTATTTGGTTTGTTCTGTCTCCCTGAATAATCTTCTATTAACTGGCCACGTTGCTTACACTAATTGCGCTTATCTTCGGTAATTTTGTTGCGTTTGTAGCATTTTAAGTAACTTGTGGACATTTCTTACTTATCACGGATTTGTTGCTGACCAACTTACTTCATATGATAATTTAGCGAAGAGTTATGCCACCGTATCTGTATGCATTATTGGATTTATTTTATTTCAGCTTGTCGTTTAAATTGAATGGCTGTTGTTTGATATCCCTGGTATGGTTGCGCTTGATGTGTATGTTGACAAGGTGCCTACCTGTCTATTACCCACTACATCGTCCATACTGGCTCCAGGAGACAGTTGGTCGTTGCTGGGGGGACGGGGTGCACGGTTCTTGTGGCCGTGCTAGGCTCAAAGAGCGGTTCCATGCACTCAGTGTGGAGCGGACTACGGTCCAGCCACCGCCTTGTGTGCGGTTGATTCCCCAAATACAGCGTGCTTGTGTTTGCCTGTGAAGGAGTGTGGGCCGGCTCCGTTGATGAAACGGGGCTCCCATCCGCATGCCTCCCGGTCTTATTCCTTCGGGTTTACACTGGATATGGGGTATGTGGTTGGAGCTGTGGGTGGTGCAGCGCAAGCCATCCATGGTTCCTCTGTAAGCAAAAGCGTTTTGTGGCTGGCCACAATGACAGGCAAATCCGAAACCGGATGCCGCCAACCATATATACTCCAGTCGCGGTGCTTTGCTCCGGTCCAGTCATGTCCATGTCCATCATAACTGGCGACGTCATCTCACCCGCCCCTATTTGTAACCCACAATCCTCGCTGAGGGTCGGCAGCACTTGCTCGAACACAAAAGCCCTATCAGTCGATATCTGCTGTTTACCGGAAACCCACTCACAAGACTCAAGCTCTCTACCACCTTTTCCTTTGATA